TTTATTTTTATTATTATTATTATTATTATTATTATTATTATTATTATTATTATTATTATTATTATTATTATTATTATTATTATCCAGATAATTGTAATATTTTTCATTTTTACTGTTGATAGTAGTAATAATTTATACAAATATTTGTTTTCTGATTTAAAATATTAAATTCTGAATCTCTGATATCAAATATGCTAGTAGGTTTGGTTTTCTAAATATAAATAATTCTAAATCATAATTATTAGATTAATATAATAAAATACTAAACAATCATTTATATTTTTCTGCATTTAAATTATTATGATGTACTTCCAAACGTTTGTAAGAATTTTCTGTGAATTTTAATACATTGATTTTACTAACTAACTATAGAAATTATTCACACAAGAAATGTGAAATTGATTCAAAGTTATCAAATATTAGTAAATTTCAAATTTTCTATTTTAAAAAGTAATTAGCTAGCCAATATTTAATTTGTTACATCTAGAATTGGAATTATTTATTATAGGGTTTGAAGTCAAACTTGTAAGATTTTGAAATTGAAATATTAAATGAAATACTGATAATATTAAATACTCAGTATTTAATTTATCCATGCTAGGAAATAATTTATTACAGGGCTTATAACCAAAATCTAAAACATTAAAATCTTATTTATGGGTTTAATTTTATTTTTCTGTAATTGATGAAATTCGCTATTAGGTTAGGAAAAGTTTTAGTAAGATTGAGTTAACTATTAATTGTTCTTTAATTAAATATTACTCCAGGCAAATAATCTATAACATTATAATAACAGAGAATTTTGGCACAAATGTTTTTGAAAACTCGGTTTAATCAATAAAGCATTTACTTATTGTTTGATTAATAAAATTATAAGATAATAATTATCAAGTAAAAAATAATAATTATTAACTTAAAATATTTACAATTACAGCTATCTATTTAGTAATTTGGATCTTCAATGGTATATTAAATACTTAAAAGAGTTGTTGTTTAAGAAATAAAGATATAGTTATTTATTAAATAAAAATTTAGTTATTGTTTAAATGAAGTTTTAAATTATATTCTACAATTTTTTAAGTAATAATAATTTACTTGTTCAAAATAAATCAGGAAGAGTTAGTCTGTAAGACCTATAGGGCAATTAGACTGAACATGGCATGTCTGACCGATTTACCTCTATAAACCAATGTAGATTGTAGAGAAAGCAGCATTGACTGCTGATTTACAGTCTGTAATTCTGAAGTGTGCTTCTGGCTTTTGCTTCTCCATATTTTTGTCTGATTGGAGAATATATTTATTCCATATCTTGA